AAAAAAAAAAAAAAAAAAAAAAAAAAAAAAAAAAAAAAAAAAAAAACCACAACTATGAAATAACTGATCAAAACTAAAGATAATCTGCCGAACAAAGGCCCCAACGCTTTGTTTAATAGAGTCAGCACGTACAACCATAATAACTTGCATGCGTAAATAAGGTTTATCTTATCTGTAAGGCGATAAAGCTCGAAATAAGTTTTTCAGTAAATTTTCCAAACTATAAGCATATTATAAAATATTCATTTTTTCAAATTAACAGTTTAAAATGAGAAAACTGCATTTGTAATATTTAGGGAAAAAATTACGTTCATCGTGCTCAGTAGATTAACATACATTAAATTAATAAGCTTTGGTGGGCCCCATGTTTCTATGGGAACCCCTCTAGCTCTTGGATACCACGGGTGGAAGTAAAGAATGCTCAGATCTCGGCTTGGCCTCGGGTGACAATACATACGAGATCTGGATTATTCTTTACTTAACCACCCTAGGTGTGTGAATAGTTAAGTTTGCACAATTAACAGTCACAAATGAACATTAATTCAGAATTTATTAAAGTAATCCTGTTGAGTTTCCAAAATTTTATTTCAATAAAAAATAACATTCAAGCTGTTACTCAGATTATTTTGCTTCTTTTTCTTCTAAGAAACCTTTGTAAGGCCACCCAATGCTCTGCAAAATAAACATTTTATCATTTTCGATTACGCGCTTTATCACGAGTTATCCACGCCTCTTAAAATTATTTCGGTATTTCATTATGCAATTAGAGACGCTCCGATGCTCCAAGGAGCATGATGATGATTTTCGACTGCATCGACAGTTCTAACAATGATTGTTTACGCAGGCGACCGTGTGCTCGCGATAACGTTGCTATCACCATTACTCGTTGGTCCATTATTCGACTGTTGGACCGACGCTGGTGCTGGGTGTTGCTGATGATTTGGATTAACTATTACCACGTTCGGATTACCCAGTTTACCGACGCCGGTGAGATATTGAGCACTCATGAGCTGCCCAGCTTTGATAATTGGCGTACCGATTACCTTACCGGTTAGCGGACCTGCTGGCGTAAGGATAACCTGACTGTTGCTACCTTGCGACAGTACAGTCATTGTAGGACCAATGACCGGCGTCAGGCTTGCGAGTTGCTGATGTCCCGATTGCGTTGTTACCAAATGACAATTTGCTTGAATACCTTCGTGATGTTGTTGGGCAGCTTGTTGTCCTGAGGACGGAGGAGCTATTGAGCCATTGTTGCTCGACGTCGTTTGCTGAACGAGAGTCGTTGTATGGGTCGCGGTCGTGGGCTTTGTTGGTTGTAGCGAGACACCCGCATGGCTCAGCGTTACACCTACCAAAAAAAATGAAGTTAATGCATCATAGTAAGAATATGTATGCTGTTTATACTTTTTTTTCGCTTTCATTTGCTAAGGTTCCATTAACAGCAGCAGTTTTAGCACTTATATCAGCTTGTTCGTTGCCCCTTGTTTCTACATGCAAAGGAATCCATACAAAGCGAATGAAATTGCCTAACTCAATAGCGTGATTAATATTAATTTTTTAACTAGTGATTAACGGAGATTCTTGATAGCTGTTGCTTTTAATTGAATTAAGAGCCATAAGTACACTCGGAAAGTCAGAGAAAATTGTAAAGATAAATAAATCATGGTTAATGATCAGGTTGGTAGCAATGATAAGAGCTAATGCCTTTGCAGAGAAAACAGAGGCTTATTTATGGTTTTTGTAAGAGCGCATTAAATTATTGTTATTAGACCAGACAGGAAAGCCACAGCCTTCATTGATGTCAGATAAGTGTTTGGAGCCATCTGTAAAAAATAAAAACCTCTAGGTCGTTGTGTGGGAATAAAGCATTGAATTTTGATAAAGCGTCAGGAAATCAAAGCATTCTTTTTCCTTAAGTTTAGTGAAGTTTCCTTAAGGAGGTTCGGTAGTGATAATTTTTTATGATGAAAATTTTTGAAATTTCGATATGTCGTTTGGGATAATAGTATCAAATTACAGCTAAATTTTTGAAGGGTTTAACCACACCGTTTTCAAGATATATTGACCTGAAAAAACAATATTTTAACATGTAGGCTTATGGAGAAATCACTTAAATTTCACATAAAAAAAAAACGGCTAAATGAACTTGCTTTTTTTTTTTTTTAAATGAAAGAATATTGTCAAAATAATATTTTGTCAAAGTTTGAGAGAGCCCTACCACAAATTTCTATTAAAAAACAGCAAAAAATGTGCTCGCAGCAGACGACTTGGCAACGCTGCTTTTGGCGCGCGCTTTGAAATGTAATGAATAGTAAAAACTCCTTTTGTAATTGAAAATTTAATTATAAAAAATTCAACC